TATGTTTTTATTTCAGAGAGACAAAGGGAGAGGGAGAGAGGGATAGAAACCTCAACGATGAGAGAGAATCATTAATCGGTTGCCTCCATGCCACCCCCCCCTCCCCCCGGGGATTAAGCGCACAACCTGGACATGTGCCCTGATGGGGAATCGAATGGTGACCTCCTGGTTCATGGGTCTATGGCGCTCAACCACTGAGCAATACCATCCGGGCAGGACTCTGCATTTTTCTAAAAATGCATAGAAACTGCGATTCTGATGCAGGTGATCCCTCAATCATGTTTATAAGAACCCTGTTCCAGAAAAGAGCAAAAATAAATCCTCTCTCCCTTCCTCATTACTATTCTCCTCCTCTTCCTCTTCCTCCTCCTCCCTAGCCCCTCACCCTACTTATCCTCCCCCCCTCCCCCCGGGGATTAAGCGCACAACCTGGACATGTGCCCTGATGGGGAATCGAATGGTGACCTCCTGGTTCATGGGTCTATGGCGCTCAACCACTGAGCAATACCATCCGGGCAGGACTCTGCATTTTTCTAAAAATGCATAGAAACTGCGATTCTGATGCAGGTGATCCCTCAATCATGTTTATAAGAACCCTGTTCCAGAAAAGAGCAAAAATAAATCCTCTCTCCCTTCCTCATTACTATTCTCCTCCTCTTCCTCTTCCTCCTCCTCCCTAACCCCTCACCCTACTTATCTTCCATTTTCTACACACACGCGCACACACACCCACACACACGCACACACGCACACACAAATGTTAACATTTCTGGGTGGTAAGAAATATAGAAATTTTATATGTATGTATATATATTAACCTAAAAATAAAATTGCAAAGTGAAAGGCAACAAGCATTTATTGAGATGAGCAGGTGCTATTGGGGAAGCTGTGATTCAGGCAGAACCCCACATAGTGTTCTGATCCAGAGGTGAAGGCATGCAGTGTCTATGAGAAAGGGGAGGGGACAATTACAGGGACAGAAGGAAGGAATTTCCACGGCTAAGAACCTAAGGAAGGGCTTTCTATAGGGACAGATAAGATAACATAATGATGCGCATTCTCAAGGACATCTCAGTCAGCCCGTGTTTATAACAGCAGTTGTTTGGAACATAGTGCTGTTTTAGCCCAGTCCAAAGGTCCTTTTGGCTAAAGGTTTGAGGAGTTAGCTGTGCAAGGCTATTCTATTCCCCTGGGATGGCAGCTCTGACTCCATTTGGAAGTGGCTCCATTTATACTATGTTTTACATGTATATGAACCTGTTCTCCTCCCAATATTTTGACCAGGACTTGTATTATTTTGTCACTAGTAAAAAATGTAATGAAAGAAAACACTAACAAACTGGAATGGCCCCTTCCCCCAGGAAGTACGTCAGTTGGGGGACTGGATTTGCCTTGAGTCTTTCCTTGCTCAAGAAGGAGGCTTCTCCTCCTGTCTTATCTATACATACATAACCAGGAGGTTCCACCCTACAATTGACTGTCCTTTGCTAGGCCCTGGGGGCTTTCCTCCCCTTGGTCTTCTGTACCTGCCTGTAAATTGCTCAGCCAGGTTGTTCAGAAATCTGTCTCAGCTTTCCCATTCCATTTCCAAGGAATGTTCCTAGCTTCTACCCTTCCTCAAAGGCAAGACTGACCATCAGTGTTTGCACGAGGGAAGCAGAAACAGTAGTGATAATCCTTTCTCCCTTGGAGTGTTGGGAGAATTCAATGCAAATGCTGGTGAAGGCTCTTTGCCCTGGGAATCACTCCAGGCCTCCATTCTTTCCACTGAACCTCAGGAAACCCTACTGAGCACTGGGAAGGGCCCTGAGCCTGGACATGCAGACGATGAAGGCCCGGTCCTGCTTTCAAGGATCTCCCACTGCCCAGGAACAGTGAGATACAAACACACAAAGCCAGTGTGAGTTTCATAGGGGAGGAGGAGTCAACCCATGCATCGACCTATGAACCAGGAGGTCATGGTTGCGATTCTTGGATTGTGGGCTCGATCCCCAGTGTGGGGCATGCAGGAGGCAGCCAATCAAGGACTCTCTCTCATCATTGATGTTTCCAGTTCTCCCTCTCGCTTCTTCTCTGAAATCAATAAAAATATATTTAAAAAGAAAAAAAAAAAGAGTCTGCAACCTGAGTCAAGTTTTTAACCTCTGTGGCCTGCAGGCTTCCAACCTCAGAAACTAAAGATACCTATTTCACAGGGTGTTGTAGGGATTAAGTGAGATTTCCTCAAACCACAGGTGTTAGCATCTTTCCTTTAAAATGTCGGCTATATCTCCCTGCGACCTCTACAATCCCAGCTGACCCTTGAACAAGGTGGTGGGTTAGGGGTGCTGACCTTCAGGCAATGGAAAATTCGTCTATAACTTAAATTGGCCCTTGGCATACAATTTCCAACCACCCATTCAAAACACAGTGGACCCCTTAACAGCACGGGGTTGAACTGCTCAGATCCACTTGTCAGGGGATGTCAGCACCCCTAACCCCTGTGATGTTCAGGGTCATCTGTAGTTCATTAACTTTGCCACCCACTTTCGCTTAATCTTAAGCTGCAATGCTTGTGAAATCGTGGGTTTGATGTTTGAGTCCTGCTATTTTTTGCCCCCTTAATGAACATTAAAGCAAAGGCATAGCTATTAAAAATTTAAAAGTTCATTCAGATCTACTTAGACACATTTCATGTGTGTCCAGTGGTATAAATACTACACTGAGGGAGATGCTGAGATTCATAATTAAAGCACCTAGCAACTTGCTTGGCTGAGGCAAGGCTTAAACACAAATTTTGTTGATTCCGAGAAGCACAGAGAAGGTGAGAGGACCCAGTGCCTTGGAAAGGGGAGGTGTGGAGGGAAGAAAGTCTCCCTGAACACAGCACTGCTGCCTGCACTCTCATCAGACAGGTGGAAAGCTTGTGGGAGGGAGGAGGGGAAGAGGGAGACAGGAAGAGGGCAACGGACCTTAGAACATTTAAAGAATTGCCTGCAGGGCAGCCGAGCTGGGCTTTGGAGCATGAACCCAGAACCCAGAGATCAACTAGTTCAGATAACGATAAAAAGGTCGCCATGCTCTCTGGGGAGTTTCGACTGGATCCTGATGGATAT